AGTATTGGTTTAAATATTCAATTTAAATCACTTCTGATTATATATAATTCAAAAAGCATTGCTAAATTTCTTTGAAAAAATAATTAAAACTCCTTTATTTGTTTAAAAGGTAAATGACAAATGTCATTATGGTCATTCAAAATTCTTGGCATACGAACTTCACGCATATTCTATTTCTTTTTACTTGTAGATTGTCTTATTCCTATCTCGCTCGCGCACGCTATAATCACACTCCTAATTTTGTGTCACAGGTGCGCGCGCATCGTAAAATTTCACTCTCATAAATTTTTCATAACGCGCCTAAAGAAGTATAACTTTAAAAAATCCGAAAATAACAAAACGACGCAAAAATCACTGTTTTTATTTCTATCATTACTGCGCACGGCATACTGCAGCATTTCATCGCGGAGTTATTTTAAAACTTTTATATTATATACTATCTTAAAATAGTCATTAAAATTCAAATATTCATAATTTACTTGTGATAAATAAATTTTTCTTAACCTACAACAGATGGATATGTTTACTATACAATGATCCTTAAAACATTTGCGGCTGGACTTTTTGCCATCGTCAACAAACTTAAAAACCCATGAATTAGGTTTTGAATTAGTGTATTTTTTTAAATTATACATACGAGATACGTTATTTTTGCTTTTTGTTCAATAAGATTTTTTTTAAATTAATGCTCCGCTTGGATGTCGCAAGATTAAATCTAACATTTATTACTTTTTTTAATTGAATAACATTTCATAAAAAAGTACAATTTAATGTAAAAAAATACCTAAGTAGTATTAGGTATTTTTATACTTTCTGAAATCTATAGGTACTAATTAAGCTGAAGAGTTTATTTTGTTAAAAGTGCTAATCTCGAAAACTAGCAAAACTATCCGATATCATCGCCCGCTCTATGACTGTAAAGTCCGACCTTTATTTACCCTATCTTTATTATAAATATAATTATTTTTGTTATCAAAACAGTCTTGCTAAGTTCATTACACGTTTGTTTTTATAGAAAGACCATTGTAAATAAAGTCATTACATACAATAAAGTAACTACACGATTACTTTTTCATCCACATAATATTTTGTAGATAGATAGTGCTTGCTCACGTTTTGTCTTTGTATTTAGAGAATATTTGAAAAACGATTATTTACTAAACCTGTAGAAGTTGTCTAGGGCCGGATTTAGAAGTCTGGGGCTTCGGACAAAGGAGTGGAGGCGGCAAATTATTTTCCAAATAAAATGAACAACTCTTTCAGTCAATTATTTTATTGTGAAACCAAGTAGATTCTTTTAGTATTCAACAAACATATACAAATATATCAAAAGAAAAGTTGTTTACTAGTGTTTACTAGTCGGAATTTAAATTTTTTTTTCCGAAGACTATTGTCGGAGCCCCTCTTTTGTGGAGGCCCTGGCCCATAGTAAAGTAGTCCGGCCCTGTAGTTGGCTGAGCGAGATCCCTCATTAGTTTATTAGCGATAATTACTGTAAATATAGGGGCTTAAACAATATAATGAATAATTTTTGGTATAATATAAGATACAGATATCACTTATTTCACGTCATTAAATTTGAGTCGGTAGACATCCCTACTCATCGGCAAAGAAGTCAGAGGGTGTTAGCCGAGAGTAAAAGCCGGCGTAAAAAGCTGTAGGTACTCTTTTAAAATATACTATACGTAGGTTAGGTACATAACATTTCGTAGTTTTTATCGAAATTATTTTAACATATATATAATATATATACAATACATATCAAGTCTGAATGCCTCAAGTTACAATCTAGTCTTGATCTGACAAAACCCTTAATATTATTTTTGATGATTGAGTACAACACATAGGACATTCATAATTAAAACAACTGTTAATTAATAATTAATTCTTAAATTTTTCAGTTATGCTATTCACAACATCGTTCCTCGGAATGGTCCTTGTGGGGCTTGCAATAGGAATCACCAAGGGTGTTAGAACTGTGTATATGAATATCATCATTCCGAGTTATGTCCCCCTTGAGAGATTGCCGTTTGCTTCGGGAATACAAATGTTCTTCAATGGTATCGTCATCATAACTATTGGATCATCGTTAGGTAAGACTTGACGCCATATTTTTTAACAAAACTCGTTGCTTCTAACGAACACTTTTACACAGACAGTAACAAAAGTAATTTAGTAGATCAACATTTGTTTTGTTTCTTTGAACAGACATTTATAGATTATTGATTTTTGAAGTTCTTTTGGCGGGTTAGGGAAAAATCATGAGAGTAAATTTTTAAGGATGCACCGTCAAAAAAACCGACACCCTGAAGTTAGCTATAGTCAACATTTTAGTTTTTTGAAGTTATATTTCTTTTGGCGCGTTAGGGCAAAATGATGAGAGTAAATTTGTTCTACTATTGTTAAGCCGAATTTACATTACGAAACTAGTGGCTCGGAATTAGTTTTATGACATAAATTTCATCAACAATTTCACGTGTAAATTTACAGTTTCATAATGCATGCATCGGTTTCGCGACACTGGATAAATTTCGTGCCATGCGCATATTTTTTGTAAAACTAATGTCACGCAACTACTTTCACGATGAAAACGCGACACGAAACTAGTGTCGCGAAAGCAATTGCACAGGGCAGACGTGTGTGTTTGAGTGCATCGTGCAGCTAAATGACCGCCAAAATGGCAAACCAACGTTGGTCAGTTGATAAAAATATAATTTTCGAATTTTATATATTAACATCTGTACCACGACGTTCTGCATCGCAAAATGAAGCTTTGATGTTGACAGAGCCATGTCGTTGGTGATACTGTTGATTTCACGACACTATTATTTTTTGTTAAAGTAGTTTCACACGTGCTGCAACTATTTTCATGAAACTCATTCCAACATGCATAACACTAGTTTCGTAATGTAAATTCGGCTTAAGTGTAGTTTTTTATACAAACGTAGAATAAGGCGAAAGATAACATTTTTGAAAAGATATTTATCTTGTTACGCCAAAGAAGTATAACTTCTAACGCGTGTACATAAGTACACACACCTGAGTGATGTCGTCGATTTTGACAGTTTTCTCATGTTTGTCTTCACCGTACGAGCAAGTCTTAACGCACAGTTGGGATTTGAACGCATGACCTCAGGTTTGAGAGACCGGTTAATCAACTAGATGTGTCAAATATCTTCACAAACTAACAATGGGCGTGGAGAGGCGGACTCAACCGTCGTATCGCGTGTCGGGAAGCCGATAAGGCTCTGCTGTTACCGCATCCCGCCTAGGGCGATTGTTGGTGGCGCCTTGGGGTTTAAGTGGGATTGCACAATACCGAGTCCCACATAACCCTCCCGCACTAAACGCGCAATGCATTTCCCTAAGTAAAAAAATCTAGGCCAACATTGCAACCCTATTAACAAACCTACTAAATTATCCTCATCGTTTTGACGGCTTACAAACAAACCATTATTAAGTATATCATTCTGTACTGAGAAGGATACAAGGAACGTAGAACGTAGAAGGTATCAAATAGCCACTTCTTCCTTGTTTCTTTAACCTTTTGTGTTACAAACATAAAAGAACAAAACAAATTTAAAAAAATAACATTATTTCAAATGTTTAGAGACTAATGAATTAAATAAACCACCGTGACCACGCACGCTGTAAAGCACGCGAAACGTCGGATAAATTTAAAATTATGTCAAATAGTTGTAAATTTATAATAATAAACATAACTTTAATCCGGTAAAAAGCGTTTTTCTTTGAATTAAATAAAGTTATACCGCTCTGATATTTATCTCTATATTATAATTTTTCATCCTTAAGATATTGCTTTAGCAATAGAGGCTCACATGTAGAAATTATCATGAAATTCTGTTTTCTCTCTTTTGAGGTGAATCTTAACAAATTATACAGAGTTTAAAACGTATGTAATAATTAAACCTCTAGTCTAACTCGACACGTGGTCTTTCCGTTGGACCATAATGAATTAAAACACGCTCATTCCGTCTTTTGTTTTTAATTCCCGTAACCCAATCTTGGTGTCATAGTCATTGTAACTCTCAGATTACCATAAGTTCAATCAACCCAGTGACTGTTCTTCTGTAATTTTATTTTTTATTTTTCAGGTCGTATTCGTGATGCCACAGGATCGTACGCGGCACCGATAACAGTACTCAACTTTGTAACATTTATAACTGTTATCTTATGGAGTTCAGAATTTTTATACTTTAGAATTACGAAAAAGAACACAGAAAAGTAGTGTATGTAAGGATGTAAATAAGTGCTGTACATATAATTCGTAGCTTATAATTTTCAATATTTATTATGGTTTATATTATTAAACTAATCTAGAACAAATATTTACAATATTATGTACAAAATATATTAAGATACAAGTGTTTTTAATAGATTTTCCAAACAAAGATATGGCTTGTGAATTATAATATAAGATACATACGTTTTTGAATTACAATTAAACTTATTACATATAAGTAAGAATATTTCAGGCAAAAATTTGTACCAAACATTCACGTTTCTTTACCAAAACTAGTTTAGTATTACAGCATAAATTACAATTTAAGATTACTTATTAATTATAATAGATTTTTAAGACAGTTTTAAAAAGCTACATATTGCTTCCCTTAGTAAATATGTTGCGTCCTAAATAGAATCACGCTATTAACACAACTATTTTATATACAATGTAACGAATTACAAATTCTACTCTAATAATAGCCACATATACAGTTTTGGCTTCGTATCTATGATCTCGTATGAAGACACACAATTTTAATTATAGGAAAAATAATTAGGTACTAAAATTATAGTAATTATTGTCACTTACAAAATAAATCGTTCATTTTATAAGCTAAATACAACATACGCGTGCTAATAATAAATTTGTCTTTGTATTCAATGTTTAATGTCACTTTACACTATCACAAATTATAGTCATTTGACTTAAATATGAGTTGTTCTGGCGCCTTTGATTGCGTCTACATTCAAAATCTTCAACTCTGGGACTCACTCTTCGATTCTTCGGTCTGAAAATACACATTGGATTAGAACAATTTTTATAGAGTGACTAGCTGACCCGGCAGACTTCGTACTGCCTCAATCGATAAATAAAAGACCTAAACTTTTGTATAAATTAATTTCAAAACAAACAATGAAGCATGAAGTTTTATTATTATTTTCGACACATTAATTACATAAATTACCGATTAGTCGGCACAATAATCAATTGCCGGATCATAGTGGAATGCAGCTCGTTCAAGAATCACAAGAGCACTGCGTCTGCGGATTCGCTCAATTTCATTATGTCGTGCTCGCTGTTGTTGTGTTTGATGTGCACGAACTCGTTGCATTCTAAGCCTATCCACTTCATTGTCACTCACTAAATAACGCAATTCTGACATAGCAATACGACTATTTTCTTGATCTGTCTCTCTCTGGTCATCAGTGCGGTTAGCACGTGAGGTAGCTCTTCGCACATTTGATTGACTGCGACGACCTAAGTCAGGTCGTCTTCTCCTCGGCATCGTAACGTAATTAATCAAAGTGAGAAAATTTCTCGCTCACTTAACAGTAACTTAACAGTAAAGTGTCACTATCACAAAATATCAACAAAAAAAGAGCACACTACTTGGAATGTCACTATCACAAAGGATCACAAAAGTAAAGAGAGTTCTCGCGCACGTAGCGGTAATCGTCACTCACAAAAATAGAAGGATGCACTCATAGAATATCGTAAAAATGATCGTAACACAATATCGTCAATCGTAATACTTTTTTCCGTGTTCTGATTTTTTTATTTATTTTTTTGGAGTTTACCTTTAAGCCATAAATCTCCGTGTTCTGAAGTGCGACAGAATGATTGACGTATTAGTTGGTTGTCAAATCTAATATCAAATATTATGGTTGTGTTCAGAAACTTAATTTGTGACAAAACTTAAGATTTATCAAAGTTAAAAAAAATTATCTGATACAGTTACAACTGAAGTTAGCTAAAATTAAGTTTCGCGAAGCCGACCAAATTGGAATTGGATTGGAAATCAGTACTACTAATAGTTTATTAATTTTTTTGTCGCGTTCGCGATTCCCTTTTGTTTATTTTCGGAACGCGACATTAGATCCTCCAAAGCGCACGCGAAGACTATTTTCATAGATATGATTGAATTTAAACTTTATGCAGCGGTAATAAATTTCAAATTGACTCTTTGACGTTAGGAACACACCTAAATTGCTTAGACAACAGTGAGTGATTATAATTGAATATGTTCTTTATTGAATAGCAATAAAGTTCAAATTGACTCTAGAAAACGTTTGTATGGGAAATAGAAAAGGGCGGTTTTTAGGGTTTTCCCGGAAATTATTCGATTTTTTCTCGCCTTTTAAACCTTCCCTAGACCTCCACGAACATTTCAAGACTAAGATAAGATAAATCCGTTTAGCCGTTCTCGAGTTTTAGTGAGACTAACGAACAGCAATTCATTTTTATATACATAGATTTTAAAATGGTCACGAAAACGTTTTTTTTTGCCTGATACGTGAATATATATATATAAGAGCAGTATTGGCCTAGTGTTTTCGGCGTGCGACGCTCATAGCTGAGGTCGTAGGTTCGATCCCCGGCTGTGCACTTTCAATGGACAATGGACTTTTTTTCTATGTGCGCATTTAACATTTGCTTGAACGGTGAAGGAAAAAATCGTGAGGAAACCGACATGTCTTAGACCCAAAAAGTCGACGGCGTGTGTCAGTAACTGGAGGCTGATTACCTATTTGCCTATAAGATTTAAAATGATCATGAAACAGGACCTAAAGTTGTTGTAGCGTCACAATTTTTTTTTATGTGAACATAACTTTTGAAATGGTGATTGTTTTGTAGGCACAGAAGATAGTTTGTTAATTGCTTACTTGCCTTAAACTCCGACGCAGAAATTATTAATTTTAAAAAACATATCTACCATTGGAAGGTCATGGGACTTTATTAATTCTATTTAATCTAATCAGTCGTAACTAACTATTGAAACAATAATATTACCTCTTGCGCTTCCTCTTTCGAAGTATCTTCAAGAGACGAACTTCCAGTAAACATGCGACTCTCTAAGTTGTTGACTGTAAATAAAAGTAAAGTAAAAATATCGTTTTGGAAAATACAATGCAAACTAATGATTTATACTTACTAATTTGGTGCCACCCTTTAGTGAAAACGTCTGATTGTTCCCCCATTGGAGGCCGATTCGAAAACCTTGGTGACTTAAACGGCATGTCATCAGAGTCATTTGATGATCTAGACTTTACTTTTGATTCATGCTCATTCGAAAAATTTGACTTTTCTCTCCATGGCTTTGAAGTCACTACATAAACCTTTTCTTTTGTTAAAGGTGATATAGATGTTTGTATGTATCCCCAGGGAGGAAGAGTTGTTAATTTTCTAAATTTAGAAGCTGCAGTATAAATATGTAGTTTTTGTATTTCACGCAGTTCATCATTCTTTGCGCTATCGCGATTTGTTTTACTGCGTTCAATTGTGTTATATTGCATAAATGGTTTAGGAGATATATTGTTTGTTTTATTATGTCTAACTGTATATTGTATACTACTTGATCCTTCGTGGTCATATAAGTCATAATTATAGTTAAAATTGTCTGTTGGCGTTGTTAAAGGGCTTAATGTGGTAAGGAAATCGTCCGGTATTTGCTTAGCATATTTTTCGCTAGGCCTTGTATTGTTAGGTACTTTATAATCTTTCGTATACTCTTGTTGGGTCCATGCATCTATTGTATGTTGTAATCTTATTATATCAAATGGAGCTTCTTTAACTTCATAATGATCGTTAGGTTGTGTATTTATATTTTCTGAATTATAATACTCAGTTACAGCAGAAGTAGGTAGTTCTGTTGTTGATGAAGAATCATAACTTACAGTTGGTCTATTGCTGAAACTAGACTCTGTTTGTGTTTGAACTTTTCTAGCCTGGAAATCCTTCTCTAAATTATAAGGCCATTCTCTATCGTTGTATTTATTTTCTTTATCTTGATCTGCACTGGTATAAGGAACAATAATTTGAACAACTTTGGCTCTATTTATATTACTTTGTTTTTCTGGTGAATCTTGAGCATAATACATTCTGCTTTCATCCCAAGCACTAGTAAGTGTAGTGTCTTGTGGAGCTTCTGTTGTTACAACTTCATCATATATTTCATATTCATTAATATTCCTAGGCGTAGAAGGAGTTATGAACGTTGAGAAGCTCTTGTGAGGAGCATTCGGCTTAAGATATAGTAATGGTGAATCAATATGTTGTAGGTTGCTTTCAGTACGATATTTGTCAATATCTTCATCATCCAATCCTCTTAAATCAGCAAAGACCGGATTATGATTAGAGGGGACGCTCATTTGCTTTAGCTCAGTTGCTATACCTGAGTCATATAGATCACTCCCATAATCGGCTCCTGTACTTTCAAAACTTGCATCGGGATGAGAATTAGCCGCAGAAATATGATCTTCCGAAGCTTGTGGAGAAATGTCACGAAAATCATCTATAATAAAGTTGTTAGGAATATTTCGATAGGCTTTTGTTTGATTATTGATTTTATTTGTATCTATATCAATAACAGGAGATTGAATGACTGTTGCTGGATATTCAACAGAATGAACAAATTCAGCTATAGGTATACTCTTAGCTATATTAAGATTATTGATATGTTGATCTAATTGATCATTTCCTTTCGTACTGTGACTTAAATACTTCGGTGCAAATGGCCGAAAAGGTCGAGCGTTAAATATTGGCGGTAATGGTGACACACTTAAATTTGGTAAAGCAACGGGTTGTAAGGTATGTATGTTTCTACCTTTATTCAGACTAAATGGAGCGGGATTAGATAAAGCTATAGAGACATTTGGAGTATTTGATAATGGCTTACTGTCTGGAAGGACTTTCGTGTTCACTTTATGAGATTCAGCACCAGTAGATGAAACTGAATAAGGTATATCTAAGGCATATGAGTTTACTATTGGTTCACCGTATGAATTTTTAAATTGAGTAGGCTGCTCCACTTTTGGTAATTGGAAGTCATGAGAAGGATTTACTGTTGAAGAAAACTCTCCATAATTCTTGTTTGGTAATCGTTGGCTATGTTCATTATAGTTTGAAATACTTGGCCCTAAAGTTGAAGATTGCGTTATATATATTGAAGAACTTGATGTCAATGAACTATACAAATTTGGTGTATTATGATTTGATTGTGGGGAACTATAAGAATTACTTGAAATGTCATAAGATGAACTTACAAAGGGGTTTACACTTGGTACTGTGTGTGATATTGTGACAGTGTGGCTTGGTGGACCATACGTTGAACTTGGACTAGAAAAGATATTACTTTCTCCAAATGTTTGTTTGGGTAGACCATATGTGACATGAGATCCATCTATCGAAAAATGATTTGGATCAGAGTTTTGGTTGAACCTTTGGGGGACATTTTGCACACTATTTATATTTGAACCACTGGGGTTCGGAACTCCATAAACAGGTTTTGGGTTGTCATGATTTTTAGTTAGATCATATCGTATAACTGGTATCCATGGAGAAAAGTTGCAAGGATTACAATCTTTTTTTTGTGGTATACTGTAACTGCTGGGCGAATTATTCATATCATCCGTAATTTGTTGAGAGGGAAATAACCATTGTGACACTTTCTGGAACATAGTAGGGGACGGAGTAGTTGTAAATGGCTGAGGTTGTGGAACAAAATTGAAATTATATTGTCTGTAAAATGGGGCTGGTTGTTTAAAGTCACTTGGTGCAGCTATAGGCGGTAATGGTGGTGGTGGCGGAGGTACTTGATATTGGTAGCTAATATCCCCACTTTGGTGCGCAGACCTTACAGGTGCCCCATGAAATGGCACAGGGTGAATCGATAGCGGCGGTGGAGGTGGTGGCCTTAACAGCTCACCAAACTGAGATGCTTCATTCCTATAGCTGTAAGAGTCTAACATCGGTTCACATCCTACAATCACTGTGATGAGTAGAACCCCAACCACCTGAAAAAGACAAATATTCAATCACTATTATTTAATTTATGAAGTAGAAATTGCGATAACCATGCATTTTGTAATTAGTTAGAAAATTAGAGAAACACGTTGCATTGCGCCATTGTAACTACTTCCCACAAGTTATTCTTTATACTTTTCTCTTTCCCATACAATACCGTCGATACGTGCCAACGGAAGAAACCCGTTAGAATTTAAAATTATTTCTATCAATTACAAAGCCTTATTGGATACAGCTGCTTTAAAAGGTGAAATATTATCAATGTGTTTACAGAATTATTTAGTATTCTTCAACTTTTCTAGAAAACTGTGTAATCGTATTGGGAACATCTTGCAACACTTGACATACGTTTGGGCACATCACTTGAATAAATATGGGTAAAAGTGAAATGTCTCTCAGTTCACTATTGAATAATTACAATCACGTATTATTGAAGGATGTTTGAATGCATTACTACTGTATGTTGCATTGTAATTTTAGCAATAAAATTACATAAGGCGTTACGATATATGTGCAATTGAAGACATTTTGATTTCAGGAAACCAGAGGCGTCACAACTTTCCGTCTGGGCCCCACATTTCTATATCTTTCACATGTTTATTTTTTTAATAGGCAAGTAGGTGTCCTTCTGTGCCTGACAAGCCGTCAGTCTCTTGGGTCCAAGGCATGGCGGTTTTCTGACGAGTTTTTTTTCATCGTACGGGCGAAAAGAAAATATATTTTTTTAACATAGATAAGTCTAAATGTTGTCCTAATGTTTCCTTGCGGAAAAGAATAAAAAGTAACCGCACTAATAGATATATAATTTAAAAAAATTGACACATCGCGTTTAAGAGCTAATTACATTAGTCCATATCCGAAGTCTCGGGTTTGATTACCGGTAATAATAAAAATGTGTTTATTCAGTTTATTTTAAGTACATGTGCATTACAATGTGTAAGATTTAGGAACCCTTTTAAGTAAAAAATTCTTGTCAGGGTTCCCAGCTCTTCCATAACAAACTTAAATATATTTATATATAATTTAATTACATATTTTATTTTATTAGGTCAAACAATCATTGTTTCTATTTCATTAGAACAAAATTACCACCGTCTATTTTGTTTAAAGGGATCTAAATTGCTAGTTAAATTTAATCTTAATTATACGGTACAGAAAAGTGCAGCTAAAAAGTACTAAACTGGTGCCCAAGGTACAGCAAACGTAAAAGAGGAAGTCAACTTAGATAGACCAAATCATAGAAACAGCAGGTTTGCAAAAAAACAAATTAAAGAAACTCATGGCAGAAAGTGGCTCAGTGCAGAGAGGAATAGCGGGGTTTGGAGGAGGCATTTGCCAAAAAAAAGCGCACAGAAAAGAATATTGAAATGTAAAAAATCGGAACTAAAAGGCTACTATTATTATTATTATTCCACGTTCTTGGGGAGTAAAACGGTCCATGTTTATTTTCATTGTATTTTACATTTGTTTACTACACAATTTTCAACAACAGAACGACAGGAAATGTCATATAAAAAAAATTAACAAATTTTCTTTAGTGCCAGTACTTTTGCGCCACCCAATACATTTATTAGTAGAATGATCACCTACTTGCCGCTTATCTCTTACATCTTCTACGGGATTTCCATACATTTTAATTGTTATAAAAAATACCATGTTTCACGTTTTAGATATTATTAAAGTTTTCAATTAATAAATTAATGACTGAATCCGAAAATCTTCTCAAAGCTTAGGTAAACTGTGTAAATGCCATATTGTATAAAAGTCGGCGGCGCTATCACGACATCATTATATTACTAGAATTAAAATTTATTTCATGTTCTTTCATGAAAATTTATTTTACATTTTTTTATACTAGATGAACTCTGTGAACTTCGTATCACCTACATATATTTGTGTCAAAACTTAATAAAATCGGTTTTATTGAAAAACTCATTTCTTGTTTTTATTATTATTCTGAACTTCCACAAATATTTCAAGATCAAAACTAGCCAAATTGGTCCAGCCACTCTTGACCTTTAGCGAGACTAACGAACAGTAATTAATTTTTATATATAAAGATTTAAAAACCTATTCGTGCTTGTGTATCTAATATTCAAATGATAAATTTTTATATGCCGAGCGCATATAACAACCTTTTTCTTACATAGAAAAACAATGATTCGTTAGTAGTAAGATATTGGATATATTCGGTAGTGGGCTGATCAATTTTAAAGAAATCATTATTGTACATACCTACCTAATCCGAGGTTGCTGGTATTTTTTTCAGATAGTATTTTTATTACTTTTTATTGTATTTTTAATTTTTTGATACCGTCCATGGACACTCACATTGCCAAAAGGCTCGCAAGTGCGTTGCCGGCCTTTCAGGAATTGGTAGGCTCTTTTCTTGAAGGACCCTAAGTCGAATTGATTGATTGATTGACATTTAGCTTTATTATTATGTATGATGTGATCTTCAATAAATAAATATTGAAACCTACCTATAGTTGAAATTCTAAATACGGTAAAGTTTATCTAATTTAATTAAAGGTCAAAGAAAAGGCAATGACCTTAGCCTCGGTAAATTCGCACGCTTCTTTTATAACTTTTACTTAATTACACAAAATGCGATGTTCCTATGTCACAAGACTATGTTCTCGAAAGTGAAAACTGGGGTAATGATTTTTAGAAAACAATGGCCGTAAACAAATATTCTATGATGTAAAAAGTTCTTGTGAATAAAGCTTCTTCGAAGTTGCGAATCGATCTTAATGCTCACCGGTCAAGCTTTTTATAGACCTATTAAAAGCAATAAATTTTGGTAGCGTCGTTACCGTGTGGTGGTTATCAAAACTGATATAATCATTATTTGCTACGCATTTGCGCGCGTTTCATTTATTGACAAAATATATTTTTTTGGTTTTGGTTTAAGTATATATACTATTCATATCCAAAACTATCGAACTAAGTAGGTAGTCTGGCCATGAATACTATTGCATAAAAACTTTTCTTTTTTTCAACTTTTTAATTATTTTGAATTTGGAACAGATCTTATGGCTGGACTAGGTATAATGACGTTACTGTGTCAACATAATAAACAACTTTTTGGTACTGGGCCTCCAATCCCATGATTTACTTACCGCACAGTTCAATAGCTTTTTTATAACGCAATATGTATTGGTTTATTATTGTGAATTTATGTAATACAATATTTTGTAACTTGGCATGAGTATTGAATAGTATTATGTTATTCAATTTATTTAGTCCTAAATTACCTCGACGTTCGTCGTTCCACAACTGAGCGAGCGTTTATAAAGTCAGTTTGTGTGTAGTGCCGAAAAACAAAACTGTGGAACCAGCTGCCCACTAAAGTATTTCTACCAAAGCGTACCAATTCTTAATAGGCAACGCACTCTCGAGCCTTCTGGCATTGAGAGTGTCCATAGGTGGCAGTGTAGACAGTATCAGACTTAACATCAGGTGGCAAAAGGGCAGGAGGCCATCCTGCCCGTTTGCCCCTGTTCTATAAAAAAATATATGATTTAGTAAGGCAGTCTGCCTTAGGTACATTCTAATTGAGAGTTATAGATTTTCACGCTAAAATACGGTAGGTTAGAACTTTCTAAGGCCTCAAAATTATTATTTATCACACATTACGTGAATTAATATTGATGCTTTTTATTCGTTCTAAAAGATAGTTTACATATCTTAATAATTACTGAATTTATAATGCGATGTCGACATTCGCCAATACTTTCATGTGTGTAAGTGAATTGTCATGACCGACACTTATCACGAACAATGTAACAATATTAATGTAATATTTTCAATATTTTTATCCGTTTTATAAAGCAAAAAGTACATATGTTTTCTTGCTCCTGCTTTTAAGCGCCTTTTAAAATAGTTGTTGTAATTGTTTTGTAATTTGTGTATGTACTCTAAATTGCTGTTTAAATTTTCGTTCCATTATTGTATTTTTTTGAAGTGAAAACTTCTTTAGCGGCGTTGTACACTTTTTTTGGAATGGACTCGCGTCAGGACACGTGACCTGATCGAAAATTCGGCGTATTTAATTTAATATAAATTGTCATGTTTGTGTACGATAGCGCAATAAATAAATATTGTATTCTACCACATAAATGATAGTACTTTTATACTGATAATTAAAGCAATTCGTGCAAAATTATTCCCTGACCATTCCAAAATATTAAAAATGCACAACGTTAATATTCAAGTTTTCACTTCTGCCGGCACTCCCGGAGTGCAACCCGTCGTTTTTTTTTATTTGTGTTACTCATACTATTATTTAAACAATCTTATCTGTTAAACAATTTAATAACACTTCTATAATTTAAACTTTTTTTACATATCTTGTATTTGTGGTGTGTGTCATATTTCCTTATTGATAAATATGTAATTAAATTACCGTTTTACTGAAAATTGGGTAATAGCAAAAACGTTTGAAATAGGCTCATTTTAAGCGATTTAAAATAATGTTATCATTCAGATCTGTTTATATACATATGATATTGTTTGAAGTGGATAATTTTTGAGTATTATAATCTATATAGGCTTCCAAGCACGTATGATAAATTGCAAGTGTTTGTCTACAAATTTCTCGTAACCTAAATTTCATATCGATCCTTATTTATTATATTCCAAGTAAGGGAACTGTTTTAGTTTCATCAAAGTCGGTTCAGTAATTTTTACTGTATTTTTTAATTTATTTAGGTGTAATGTATATCAAGGTATAATAATAATGTTGACAGGTATTTAAAGTCCATAAATTTTCTATACTACTTAGGATTTAATATTTCTGTGGCATGGGGCAGACAAATTCTGTATAACTCAAACTCAAACTCAAAATATCTTTATTCATGTAGGTAAACAAGTACACTTTATTGTCAGAAAGAAGTTAAATTAATTGTAAATTTACATTTACTGCCAGTTCGCAAGTCAAGGGCGTAGAGCGGGTAAGAAGAACTGGCAAGAAACTTTCCGCCACTCTTGTTAATCGCCATTGTATTGTCATACAAAATGTTTGAACTGGAGCAAATCAATCCCAAGGATTAGGATCATTTAAATATTCCTCAAATTTATAAAAAGCTTTATTGATTAATTTTCGATAATTCTCTAATTTCGCTTGGGAGTTTGTTGTAAAAACTAATACAATTTTCATATAAGGAGTGGTTTATCTTTTGGAGCCTGGTTGGTCGTACACTCAAATTAGTTCTATCTCGCGTATTATACTGGTGAAAGTCACCATTTGTTTTTAAATCGTTTATATTTTTTTGGACATACAACAAGGCTTCAAGAATATATTGACCAGATAGTGTCATAATATTTAATTCCTTAAACTTATTCCGTACCGACTCCCTCGGAGAAACACAACAAATACCCCGAACAGCCCGCTTCTGCAGCACAAATATGGATTGAACTATTGGTAAATCCTGTGATGAATTATTTATGAATTAAGCTATACATAGACTACTTTTGTATTACCTACCAGCAACACTATCATTTTCATAATAAAAACACAGAGTATTATTACGTATTTCTCAGGAATTCTACAAAAAATTCATTAAACCAAAGTTTAATTATTTCTCCTCTAATGTACAGCAATGTAGCAGAGCTTTCATAAGATGAAAAGATAAGACCGGTTTCTAGTCTCTAGGGTAAAGGGCATTGAGATACTATCATAAATAAACACACTCTCCTTTAATCTCATAGAAAATGTTACTAAGATTAGATAAAGAAGTACATTACTAACGAATAAAAAATTGACCATTTACATAAATACTTTTTAGTCTTTATTAAGGTGACGAACTTTCTTCATATGATTTTTAATTATATCTGTCTATAAGTTACAAAATAATAATTACGAATGAATAAATTTAAAACTTCAGACTCAAACTTTACAAAACTCACGTAAGTCAAGTTAGTAGGAATCGTTTTTAGACATTCACCCACAGTAGTAATGGCAATGAAACTTCGTAAGTTTCCAAAACTCGGCGGAGACCAATACAAAGATGGAAATGGAAAACTTAATCAGTCGCTGGAAAATCGACTTCAACTACTTACGGTCTTAAATTCGTCTTCTTAGTCATAACTAAAAACGTCAATCAGTTAATGAATGTCTTGTTACATAAAATAAGGGAGGGCAATATTTAAATATTCGTTAAGTTAAATACAGAATTCTGAATTTATTATTATTATTTTTACTATTTATAGGTTGAGTTGCTTATTTCTAATAAGTGGACATTGAAAATTAATATTTTAATATATATTAAATAATATAATAGTCTTACAAAATATTCATGGGACACGAAATGAAATTGAAAGTGGTCCTCGATCGTGTGATCGCTGACTCACTCAATAAATCTCATTTAAAATTTTCGTTTTTCAAAGTCATTCCCGTGAAATTAAGGGACGTGTCGGGATGTAATCTTAATGGGATTATTAAATTTTACAGCTTTTAAGGAATGTGGTACGTGAAGACATAAATAATTATTATGAGTTTTTTTCATATATATAAATGAACTTGAGGCTAGACTAACTTTTACGTTGATGTGGTAAAACACTTTAATAAAATGACCATATTGAGTGATCGAATCAATGACGCATAAATTACAGATAATTTCTACTGTAAT